TCTGCTTCAGAAATTCCCACAAATTTCCTGAGAATCTCTCCTCTGTCGTGTTAAAATCCACTCACCCCATTGGGAGTCACAGGGCACCACATATCTGTGCCTGGGACTCTCCAACTCCACTCACCTTGTGAGCGTGTCCATTCCGAGGGCTCCCTGCACGTCTGCCAGCTCTGCCTTCATCCTGCCTGGCCCACCTAGCAAGATTTCAGCTGCTGCAGTGGTGCTCAAGAGCACAGCAACCTAGATAAAAAAGAGAGACAGCATCAGCATGCATTTGTCCCGGGGAGACACCATGTACGTTCCCGGACTCCCGGGACGTGTGCGTGATAGGAGGAAAAGTTCCCGATATCTACACACAGAGAAAAATACACTCAAGTATTTTCCAGCATCCTACTTGTGCATGCTTGCCAGCTTGGCTAAACACTGTGCACGTGTGCAAGGATAAAGAGAGCGGCCTTGTTTGGCCGGCATCCTCAAGGCCGTGGACTCCCGCGCGCGGGACACGGCAGCGGAGCCCCAGCACGGCCACGCCGCGTGCCAAGGGGCGCGTTAGTGTCCTTGGTGCTCGGGGCCACGCTGCACAGCACGGAGGATCTCATGTTCCCAGTGCTCGTGTGTGTGCTCGCACTGCCATGGAAAGGCGCTCCGGGAAGGTCGTGCAGCTCAGCAGGGTAAACCAAGGCGGGAAGCAGGGAGAAGGCTGAGGGTTCTCGGGAGATCTCACGAGCAGGGGGTGGCCAGAGGGAGCGGGGAGGGTCTGGCGAGACCGAGCCACACACGGGCACAGCAGAAAGGATCGGTGAACGGAAGCGGCCTATGGGCCGCAGCCAAAACGGAAGGCAGGAAAGCCCGGCCTCAGGTCCTTTGTCCTGCGCTACACCCAGAGCTTCCTGGGAACTCGCAGGATTATTCTGCCGGAGCCAGCAAAAGGCTCCACAGCCTCCAGCCCCGACCCGCTGACAGGAAACCTTTCACTGGAAACTTGCTCACGTTCGGTGCGAAGTGTCTCACTTCTGTTAGCATTTTTTTCCCCATCAGAGG